CATTCGTTTATTTTCACATTGAAACAATATGAACAAAAAATTATCGGTAATTTTGAAGCACTTGTGCAATTACCCCTGATAACCAATTTAAATTGAATTTAATTCTGCTACCACCAAATACGATGGCTTGAAATGTTGAAAGAGCTAATATCTAATTTTTATTTATCTGTTGTGAGTGAACCTTCGAACATGGTAAAAGTTCGTTGGCCACTGGTAGATTTAAAAAGTTCTGTATTTGTAAATCTTACTTTGCATCCAATCTAGTCGATCATAGTTTTGAGTTGGAAGTGGCCATCTGATCAGAGTATTGGAGGTTTGGGTGTTGCAAAATTTACAAATTCAGCTTAAAAAACTTTTCTTAACTGTGCCTTATGGCAACTGCAGATTTGCATTTGACTACCAGCAGATGTTCAAAAAATTACTAACAAGACTAAGAAATTGACTAAGAAACTTTTAGGAACATAATCAGCACGCACTAAGGCACAACTATGGCTGACATAAGGTCGAATGGCTTAAATAGGAGCTTGTTTAAAAAGTCAGTCGATGTTCAAAAGTTCTTTTATCCAAGGTCACATTTGATCAATGAATGGTTTCTCACCACTCAGGTAAGTACCGTGTTAATAAAAGTATAATGTATATTTTGAAACCAAATGAAACCAATTTTAAAACATTGCACTTTTGTTTGAAAATGTCAGGATTTTGCTTTCCATAGATTTGAACTTTAAACCACTTTACCTTTGGTATACAGATGTTTCTCCTTATAGGGTCGTTGTAAAGAAAAGTGCACTCCAGTTGAAACTGAAAATGTACCTAAGACTTGTAGTGAACCGAAATGGAATGCATACATGGATTTTTTCGAAAAAGATGCGTTTTCTGCCGAATCTAGCAAAAGAGGTAATTATTATAAACGTTCTTTAAATCAGACAACTTTTCATTGTCATTGTTTGTTTTAACAGAGGGGCCTTCGAGATTCACCGCCTTAAAAGGCAAATTCCGATTCGACGAAGATAATCCCCTTAAGGACAAACATTATCGACCCCGTGAATATATGCTAAATAAATGGGAAAGCCGTGATAATCCATTCTGTAACGAACATCCACTTATGACTTTGAATCGGTTGTTTTCCGTTGTTGATGCGAATGAGATCGGATCCTCTACGAAAATTCCATTTCAACAAGGTAAATATACACATAATCAGTATTACAAACGTTTTTTACTGTGTGTAAGTGTCATTTTTACGTTGCTAACTTAAATCCTGATTAACCGAATATAACACTTAGTTAATTAAACGAATGTTAAATTGTTCAGCATATTTTACATACTTTGTGTTCAGGGGGTAAATGTTCCAAGGCAGACAGACCGAACGACTTTAGATCGGACGGTTTCTTCCGATCGAGGATTTGTGGCAACAATGTCAACTTGGTGACTCTACAGGTCAATGGAGAAAGCTCGCATCATTTGGTTTTCTCTCGCTTCAAGAGTTTAATACGGGAAAACGATATCGCGGTAAGTACAAATATTTTTATGTTCTTATTTTTGGAAGAAAGTGTTAACTATTTGATTTTACAGAATGAGAAGGCTTTCCGCAACTACAAAAATCCACTGCGTATCATAACCGATGAAGAATTTCTCAACTGGCCATTTGGAAATACCGCATTTGTTTCTAAGAACAAATGCGATATTTCGAACGCAGAAACAGACGATTCGCTAACAATTGAAAAAAACATTATGCAGTCTATGCTCTATTTGGAGGAGGACGAGGAGGAGGAGAAAGAGAAGGAAGAAACTTTGCCATCGCCAAACAAATATTTTAAACCTTTGGACGTGCTGTTAAGGGAAGACCAATTGAATGAAAGAAATATGGATTCTTTCCCTGACGGGACATATTTTAATGTTAAAAGCGACTTTGATACGGTACGTTGATGTTACGTGATCTTGTGAATTGTTATTTAATTAATGTTGTGTGTTTTAGCTGAATTTTCAAAGGTCCCCTTCTGGGTCGCTCTTGTTGGAATCGGAATGTGGCAAAGTAACCAAATACTTAGAGTATAAATATCAGTCACCTACGGATGAATTCATGCGGTTGCCAAGATTTCGACAGTCTAGTGGTTATCAAGAGTTTAAAGTGAAATATCCTGTTTCAATAAATGATAAGGTAAGCATCTATTTTATCAAGTTGTTGCGTTTATTATTTTAATTGTTTGTTTTAAACTTAGGCTACACAAACCGGCGATGATGGTGATATCGTCGAAAATATGTTCTGCCCGTCAGCAAGAAATGCATCCACCCCATTACCTGACGCTGTCACTGCGAGTTATTTGGAAAACGAAAATTCCAATGCGTCTACAAGTAGTTCGTTCTCTGACGGTAATAATTTCTCCCTTGATGCAATTCACAGTTTCACGACTTTGAATGATGTGCATATAACAGGGTTTTGTTATTGCAGTTCAGTATGAATTTTTATGTTGTAGATTTCCAAGCAGTTGCTGAACTGAAAACACTGCTTAAGGCCGAAGACGATGATGACTCCAAAGAAGTTAATTCAGTTTGTTCACGTTGCGCTTTATGGTCAAAGAAGTCTTCGCTGAGTGACGCAGGGATTGACGTAGGGAGTGACACAGGGAGTGACACGGAGAGTGACACAAGTGACGGCACTTCGCTATATGAAGAGGTAAATTAATTTTGTTAGCTCTTGAAATATTTTGAACGTACATTTTCTGTTACAGATGGATGAATTTTGCAAATGTTCTGCGAAAAGGACCTATTTCATGCGTATCGTCTATAAGAAATTCAGCAGTCGAAGAATGTTTGGATTTCATTGAGTCGCTAGATGAGAGACAAGTTGAGACTGAAATAAGTGATGAAGACGGTGGTGGACATAGGTAAATGTGAAAATAATTCGACTAGATTTTTGTTATTAACTCATCCAGTAAGCTCGTCCGTTGTTCAATAGCGTTGTAAAAGTTGAAATAGGAAATCTTTCCAATAGTGTAACGTCACAAATCTCGTTGCATCGTGGCAGTTTGGAACGTGGTTTTTTGCCTTAATTTTAATTCGCCTAAGGTTGTCGAAACGAGTGTTCAGCGACGCTGCTTACCAGTTATTTCAAAATTGTTTTATGTTAAAACAATTTCGGAATTGGCGTTGGGCCGACAGATTTTTGGTTGGCTTTCCTTTGGATGCCATGCAACAATAAGATCTGCCGTATTAATTTTAGTGCAGACACATGAATCCGCCTTTATCTCAAGGCTGTCATGAAACAAATCTGTCCTGGTCCATGCTTCTGTTACTAGCATATACGTTTTATTTCGTTTTTTAGTATAAGACAAGTAACCTGTTTACTATTCAGGTTTTATTTTAAAAGCAATGGGCAATTCCCATACCTACATGATTAAATGGTTCCATTTAAGGAATCACGTAGCCTATTCGCAGATTCCACAAAGCAATCATTTTATATCCACATGCTTTGTTGAATCGAACCAGATCCAATATTTGTTGTACGTTATTTCTTTTATGTTAAAACGTATGCTTCCAGATCTTTTCGTTAAATTAAGTTTTAAAGACTATGCTCTAAAGCATACTACAATTTACTTAAATTTATAATAGAAGTAAAACGCAAAGGCGGTTATTTACCTCAGTATATGTATATGTTTAAGCGACTATTAACGATCACCCGTTTTAGTTCTCAGTATGTCGAGGTACTTTATGCGCTTCTGAGCATTGGTTGGCAGTATAGCTACCTTAAAAATTTGGAATACCTCCTGAGAACAAATTGTGATCGAACAATTATTTTACTAAGTTATCAAATTTCAATAACTGTTTTCTAAGACTTTGTTGTTTTTACCTTTGTAAGACCTTTAATTTAGTGTTATTACACTCTGTAGTTGATCCCTATCACTTTGCATCGTTAGTTTTCGTCTATGCAAACAGTTATTGCGCACAAAAATGTTTTAATTCAGTTGTACCAATTTAAACCCTTTCTGTACATCTAATATATTTACATGAAAGTTTCTCTAAATTTTCCTTATGCTGTGCGTTATTATAGGTTGTTTCTGATATTTATGTTGGCATGTATAATTATAGGGGAATTAATTACAGTATTGCAAAAATTTTCAGAAAAAAAA